CTGCCTGCCTCACAAGCGCAAGGTCCTGAGTTTGATTCCCGGTACAAAAAAAAAAAAAAGACACAGATCAAGACACAGCATCTTTCCCACTCAACAGTCCTCACCCCTGTCATCCAGTTTATTACTACCCTGATTTATAACCACTGAAAAAATTTGCACTCCTGTGCATGGCTTCTCCTATACATGACTTCCTGCTGTATTAAAACAGGTTTTTAGAGACAGATAACACCTTGTGGGGGCAACAAAGCTGGAATACAGGCCTTCTCTTAAATTGTCCTTGTTTGAAAGGTAAATGGATAATGCTTTTCATGAAGCAGTTTAAAATAAACACATTATTCAATCTAGTAATTCTACATTTTTTGGTCCTGAAAAAAAAAAGCTATCCACACAAAGATTTAGGTTCAAAGATATAGGTTTCTAATAGCAAAACATTTAAAAATTTTAAAAAGCAAGCAACCTAAATTTTTACCATAGAAGCAAGGTTGAATGTTGGAATATATTTGTACTACAGTATATAAACAACTATTAAAAATGTAAGACAAAAAAAAAAAGTAAGACAGAGGACCAGGAATGTAGCTCAGTGGCACAGTGTCTGCCTAGCAAACGCCAGTCCTTGAGTTCGATTCCTGGTACCAAAAAAAAAAAAAAAAAAGTAAAATAAACCCAGGCGTGATGACACATACCTGTAATCCCAGCATTTGGGAGGTTGAGGCAGGAGGATCACTACAAGATTGAGGCCAGTCTGGGCTACACAGTGAGTTCAAGGCCAGCCTGAACTACACAGTGAGGCCTTGTCTCAAAACACCAGAAAAAAAAGGTAAGACAGACCTATAGACCTATAAATAATAATTTGAGGGGCTGGGGATTTAGCTAAGTAGTGCCATCTGGTACCAAAAAAAAAATTTGAATGACCTCTGGCATATACATGCTATATATATATATATATATATATAATTAATTAAAATGACAATAGAACAACATGCACAGTCCATTTATGGCAAAAGAAAAAACAATAGGTAGAGGATAGAAAGAAATTTACATGCCAAATGGTGGGGAGGTAAATGGGTGAAATGAAAGGATTCCTGGAGTATTTCATATTTCTGAATTGCTGTATCATGAAAAAACAAATATTCAAATATTTCCTGTGTAGTGAAAACATAAAGGCAAAAACTGTAAATAAAGAATTGACAGGGTGCTGGTGTAATCCAGCCCGATAGGAGGGGCCTTCAGTGCCCAGTGGGTAACTAAAAGTTTGGCATCCCTGCCTTTGCTTTAAATCCATCTGTTATCACCACAGAACTATGGGTCGGGTCCCTGCTCAGCTGTGCACATCAACATGTTAGTCACTTAAGGAGTATGCAGTACGAAGTGCATGAGCCCTAAATCTACCTGTCTCCTCCCCCTTGAAGACTGAGGACACCAAAGAAAGAGTAATTTTCAGGATTTAAGTGACATTTGATTACCAATTTTTACAAGGTCCAGTTCCAGACCCTCTGGAGCGATACCTACAAGTCTCCAGCCATTGTGCTAAACCTGCAACCACCTCAGCAGCCAAGGGGACCACAGCCTAACAGATGACCCCTTGATGAGCTCATCCCCAAGCCAGAGCAATTACCCCATGACAAGAATCAGGCTGCCAACCTGCTCAGTGTAGGAGTCCTCATCTCATGAGAACAAAACTATCCCCTTAAGCAGTGATGATATTATAGACAGTTAAGTTAGAGAGATATTAACATGCAGTCAGAGTGGGGTTGGGCAGAGGAAGTCAGCAGAAAAGAAAGAGGCATCAGAGTTGTGGCTGGAGATAAATCTGAAGAGAGCCAGGCCTCAGAATGGAGATACAATAGCCATGCCTGCAAGCCTCCCTAGAGGTAAACAGCAGCTGGAGATTATACTGTAATTAGCACCCCCTGGTCCAGTGAGTGGGCCCAGATAGGTATCAGGCACACAGGTAGGTGACCAGAACATCTGGACCCATCCTCCCTTCCCTTCCCCCAAATATGGATCTTTACACATATCCTTGCTACACTGGATCAACATTAGCTAAGCCACTGTACTTGAAATCTTATAGATTGATTGCAGTTTGACTCACATTGTACCCAAAAAACGTTGTAATTTTGCTTTTTATTTGTTTGTTTGTTTGTTTTTTGGTACTGGGGATCGAACTCAGGTCCCTGGCGTTTGCGCAGCAGGCAGCAAAACCACTGAGCTAAATCCCCGGCCCCCGATTTTGCTTTTTAAATTACCCCTTACAAAGGGTTACAAAGGATCTTGGTCACCCACTCAGGACCCCTCCTGGGAATACAGAAGCCGTTCTTCCCCTTATGTCCAATAAAACTCTCCTTACTTCCTTCTTTGGTTCCAGACTTCATCCATCAATGTTGTAAGACCACGAATTTCTGCATATCTGACATCTAACAGGTCAGAAGTGATATTTTTCCTATATCAATGCCTCTACCAGCTCTAAAACTCCAGTAACATGAGGATAAAGAAGATGTAAACTGCAAGATGTAGTAGTAAACTGCAAGATGTAGTAGTTTCACTTGAAGGAAAACCATTGTAAAATAGACAGTCAAGTGCCATCTGGATCATAGGGGCTTTCATTTTTCCAGCTCAGTCCATTGGAATAGTATTAGGTTTTTTTGTTTTTTTCCCTTTCCACTGGACCCTTCCAACACAATGAATGAAGGAGATACCATTCATTTAAGCAGCTTGTCAGTGATTGCCATTAGACTGTTTAGTACCATTACTTTTGTGGTTACTTTTATGTACAACCCAAGGAATGCCTTCCCATCTTACGTTAGCTAAAACAGCTGGTTATATGCCTCCTTTGCTGCAAGCACTACAGTGAATGTGATTGTCAATGTGACTAGTTTAGAATACTGCTGAGGATAAGCTAATTGAATGCCTTGAATGTATTAGCCACTGGTCAGATGGTAAACTTTTTTCAGTATTATTTATAGTTGCACATGATTGCAGTTCTGTGAGGCGCGCAGCATTCATACACCTCACCTGCCTTGGCAAGCCTATTTTTTGTGACATGGCAGCACAGATATAACACTGTGCATTCAAAGCACTTTTTTAGGATTTTTTTTTTTTTTTTTTTTGGGTACTGGGGATCGAAATCGGGTCTTTGCACTTGTATAGCAGGCAGCGAAACCGCTGAGCTAAATCCCCGGCCCTTAAAAGCACTTTTTTGTAACGAGTTTAATCCTCTGAAAAGAATGCCAATTAAGCTTCATTAACTGTGTCATCAGTTTATCCTAGTACCTCAGTGTTCATTCCTGTTACCTGTGTATCTTTAAATAGCTGTTACAGTATTAATGCCTTTGTGTTTTCTGTTGAGTGTACACTACTGAATAAGTGTAGAAGTTTTATGTTTACCATGTGAGTCTTGCAACACTAAAGATAGTTTGAATATCAGTCATGATGGCAATTTCTGTATAAAAGAGCCTTAAATGGAACATTGTTTTGAGATCAAACTCCCTACCCTCACAAAAATGGTCACGTTGCAATAAAAAGTGCGGCATATTATAAAAAAAAAGAAGAAGAAACTGCAAGGATACCCAATCAACAGTGGCCAAGACTTGCACTATTTTGATTTTTTTTTTGGTATCAGGGATCGAACTCGGGTGCTTGCGCTTGCAAGGCAGGCGACGGAACCACTGGGCTAAATCCCCGGCCCTATTTTGATTTTTAAAACCTTGTTAGGCCAGTGGTTCCACCACCTGCCTTGCAAGCGCAAGGTCCCGAGTTCAATCCCCAGTACCAACAAAACAAAACAAAACAAAACAAAAAAACCGTGTTAATGCTGGGGATGTAGCTCAATGCGGGAGAACAGATCTTGAATGTGCAAGGTCCTAGATTGGACTGGACCTCCAGCACTGCAAATGACAAACTTTGAATTTAAAAAGTATGTATTTTATGGTCAAACCTTTCTCTCCCTCTCCCTCTCCCTCCCCCTCTCCTCTCTCAGGTACTGTGCTGTTTTGGGGTGGGTAGGCTCACAGAACCCCTAGCCCTTTCCACAAGACAAAGGACTAATACCCTGTATAGCCAACTGGAAAGTGTAAGCTTCTTTTGTGAGGATTTGTTGCCAAAGAGGTTGTATTAGAAGAAGAGTTGGACACACGGGGAGTTGTCTAGAATCGGTGGGGTGCAGGGCCTGCTTGGAAGGTTTAGCCTTGGAGACCACCCTTGTGCAGGGACTGTGTGGGCTGGAGGTCTGGATGGACTCGGGTGACCTGTCATCTCCACACGGCACCGACGGAAAGGACGCTGTTCTTATGCAGCGGAGCAGACTACAGGGTCTCTGCTCTGGTTACTGACGTAAAGAAATGTTTGTACTTAAGCATATTTAGCAATAATTCAAAGACACAGGATGACAAAGGCGGAACAGGTCAGGACAGACCAGGATCCACACAGTGAGCTTTCCGCTTCTGCGCAGGGGTGAGAGAGGCAGGGCCCGGGGCCTCCGGAACCCCCTGCAGAGACCCAAGGGGGGCTGCGGGTCGTGGGTTCGCGGCTCCCCGAAGCCCGCAGCTGAGCGCTTATTGTGCACGTGGGGCCGCGCACCTGGCCTTTCCCGCTCCTCGGTCGCCAGTGGTTTACCGCCTCACTCCCAACCCTGCCCTGTGACACACAAAATAAAATCTAGGCTCCATCTAGCGTGAGGGTCCCGAGGTCTGGGGACTGGGGTGGGGGATGGGGGACTAGGAGCCCGGATATGGGGGGGACGCGAGACCGGGGGTCCCCACGGGGGTACGGGTGAGGACGAGGGAGCTGCACGCCCGGGGTAAGGGGTGGATAAGGGGGCGAGGCCGGGTGGGGGATGGGGACGGGAAGGGAGAAAGCCTGAGGTAGGGACCGGGAAGGGACCAGAAGAGGAGGAGCCCGGGTGTGGGGGGGAAGGGACCGGGAGGACGCAGAGCTGGGGGGATGGGCAACAGGCGCCCCTCCCCCCGGTCCCGGCGTGCCTCGGGCGGCGCAGGCGCGTGCGCGGCGGGCGGTCGTTGGCTGGCGGCGGTTGCGCGGTTGCGGCGCTGTGAGGTCTTCGGGCGCTGGCAAATCGGGCCCAGGATGTAGAGCGGCTGTGCCGGACGGCGCGTCTGACGCGAGCTCGGGTGGGGTAGAGAGTAGGGGGCGGTAGTCGGGGGTGGTGGGAGAAGGAGGCGGCGAATCACTTATAAATGGCGCCCAAGCAGGACCCGAAGCCCAAGTTCCAGGAGGGTGAGTCGGTGCCCGGGCCCAGCCTTGGGGCTGGAGGTCCTGGACGGGGGCGGGCTGGGTGTGGGCTGGGTATGCGGCTCGGCTTTGTGCGAGAGGCCCGCGGAGGGAGCGGGGCGGCCCCAGGCCAAGCACTGTCCGGCCTCGGGGTCTTCCGCACTGCAGCAGGACAGGCACTGGCGGCGTAGCGAGCCTCGGCGCGTTTGTTATTGCCGTGGGAGGCGCGGAGGGAGACGCCTATTGTCGGGCGGTGACGCGTCTTGGCGCGGCAACAACGTGGCAGGGCTGTGGGCCCGGGCGCGGGGCGGCCGTTCCAAGCGGTCTCGGGTCTCCCAGCTCCCGGGTCGCCGCCGCGGGCGGAGTTCGCCGCGGACGCGGGTTGAGGACGCCTGGAGCCGCTGCGAGACGACCGCCGCAAGATGGCGGATCCGCCATGGTCGCCCACCTCCGTCCGTGCTTCGCGCACGCGCTCCTGGCCTGGTGGTGGTGGGGGACGGGGAGCCGCGCCCTGCTTGGTGGGGAACTGGAGCCCCCTAGCCGCACGCCTGCTCGGGAAAAGTAAATAAAGGCGGCTCCATTGGAGCCACGAAGCGTTTCCGTTTCTAAGCCTGTGGCCTTGACGTCATTTTTTTTCGTGCCGCCATTGTTTGCTTGAATTAGTATTTGCTTAACGGTGGTTTGAAAGTTAATTTTTAAAATTGGTTTTTGATCAGTAAGAGTTGGCTGAATATTAGAACCTGACTTTCAGTGGAGGACGCCCCTTTGAGTTCTTACAACACATCTATTTAGGAGGGCTTTTATCTCTTTTGTTTTGTTTTGTTTTTGGTACCGGGGATCGAACTCGGGTCCTTGCATTTGCGCTTGCACAGCAGGCAGCGAAACCACTGAGCCAAATCCCCAGCCCAGGAGGACTTTTATAGCATGCTAAAGTTTTTCATTGCTATGGATGTACTGTGCTAGTACAAATGCTATGTCCAATCTCATGGGTTTGAGGGATTTAAAAACTTTAATACATGTTAGAATAACTTAAAAGTCATGAATTCAAAATCTAGGTATTTTTTAACTTTATAGCAAATTTAAGGGGTGTTCAGGGTTATTTTTGTTGATGAATATTTCCTTTCTCCCACTTTTGAGACTAACTTTAACGGCTATGGATTCTTTGTTTTAATGTGTCTTAGAACCACTTTTGTTTTCTTTTTTTTTTTTTTGGTATCGCGGATCGAACTCAGGACCTTGAGCTTGTGAGGCAGGTGGCGGAATAGAACCAGTATTCTTAATCTGGACTCGGTGGATAAAGTTCAGAGGGTCTGTGAACTTGAATGAGGAAAAATTTTATCATCTAACATATTTAGTACTATTGTCACTGGTTTTTCTTTTTTTTTCCCTCCGATACCGGGATCGAACTCAGGACCTTGCGCTTGCAAGGCAGGGGCGGTGCCCCTGAGCTAAATCCCCGGCCAAGTACTATTGTCAGTGTAAAAATTTTCCCAACAGAAGTAGAAGTATTAGGGTATTTTTATATCTCGGTGTTATATGGAAAATACATTAAACTTTTAGAGTCCTTACTTAACTATTGTAGTTATTGGATCAGCAGCCAAATCCTATTTACTACTTCAGATAAGGAGCTCTCAGAATGTACAGAAAGTAATAAATTAGTTCTGATAACCGTTCCAACAGAGTTGTTTTTCTCTTTAATAGTTTTATTAAAACATCCTAAGAGGTTCATAAGCTTTGCCAGACTGTTAGGGCACAAAAACTTAATGTCAAGCCGGGCTGGCAGCGCATGCTGATAATTGCAGCCCTGAGGAGGCTGAAGCAAGAGGTTCACTGAGTTCGAGGTCAGCCGGGACTGCATAGTGAGACCCTATCTCAGAAACCCCAAAAACTAGAGGGCCACCAGAGTGCTTGTGCTGTTTATGGTTGTGCACTTGACAAGTAGGAACAAAGGTAGCCCTAGGCAAAGGTTGGAAAATGGATTAACTTTACTTTCTTTAAGGACCTTGCAGTTTACAAAGACCGGCGCTTCGACAGAGCTAAATCCTCGGCCCATTAATTTTACTTTCCACGTGTGTTTCTCTTTGGGTTTCAAAACAATATAGCCATCCTTTTTTTTTGGACTGAGGATCGAACTCAGGACCTTGTACTTTCGAGGCAGGCTCGGGGACCACTGAGCTAAATCCTAATCCCAATATAACCATCTTTTAAAAATTGTTTATAAGACATTTGGAGAATATCTCGAGAACTTCATATAGTGCCAATGGGGCTATCTTAAAACATTGTGGAAGCATTGTAATGATAAAAATAAGAATTACTGTACCAGAAAAATTTCCTTTCATGATTCCAGTATACGAAGCTTTTTTACTTCATGGTACAGTATATGTTCTGTGAGAAATCTTTTTTTTTTTTTTTTTTTTTTTGGTACCGGGGATCGAACTCGGGTCCTTGCCCTTGTGAGACAGGCGACAGAACCACTGGGCAAAATCCCCGGCCCTGTGAGAAATCTTTAAACATAGTGACTGCATTGGATTTGGGTCTTCCAATTGTAGTTTTGTTAAAGCAAAGAAGACTGTTGGGTATCTGGCATATTGTCAGGGGGAAGACATTTTTTGTCAGGAATTATGAGGTTAATGCTGTGACCTGAGTGATGTTCTAGTAAACATTGAAAGTATCGAGAGGATTAAGGGTAGAGGGAGGCATATGAAACTACTATCTGATGATGGTAGTTTGCAGTTTTCCCTGTTGCCAATCTTTTGAGTTTACTGACATGGAAAATAGCCATGTCAACCTGGCTCATACTTTACAGGTAGCTGTGTATTTTCAACAAAATATCAGGGCCGGGGATTTAGCTCAGTGGTTCTACTGCCTAGGTCACAAGTGCATGGTCCTGAGTTCAATCCCCGGCACCCCCTCCCAAAAGAAATATATATATATATATATCTCTCCAAATAATAGCAGTGAAATACCTAGACTGGAGGTCAAAAGGCCTCAGAGCAGTTGTTTTTGGCAGCTGCAGCCAAAAGAGGGGGAAAAAACAGGCCATTTTCAGAGTGCCTTGAAAATGTACTTAGAGAGGGAGAGTAGAAGACATAGACCTGATTTTTAGTGCTGCTGCTTATTAGCAGAAGAGTTTGTGGTGGTGGTGTTGTTGAGACTGGGTCTCCTGTTAGTTCAGGCTGGCCTTGAACTCACTACATAGCCAGGGCTGGCCTCAAATTCTTGGCAGTCCTCCGGCCTCAGCCTACCAAGTGCTTTTAAGTGGAACTGCAGAAATTTTTATAGACATCTTTTTGTTTTTGTTTTTGTTTTTTTTGGTACCGGGGATTGAACTCGGGTCCTTGCACTTTCGAGGCAGGAGGTGGAACCACTGAGCTAAATCCCCAGCCCTTTATAGACATCTTTGATTTTAAAGTAATTTACTGGGTTTTAGTCTGGGAAATTGTAACAATAGGTCTCCAGTGACACTTGAATGTAGGGAACAGGGAAAGAGAGGAGATGTTACTAGAACTGGAGTGAGCCCTAGTATTTGAGCTGCGACAGCACAAGGCGAATTAATTAATATATGTAGACAAATGAGGGTTAGAGAAGAAGCTGAGCTTTGGGCCTGATCTGTGCTGCTCTAGGCAGCAAAGACGCTTGCCACACCTTTATTCTGTACCTCCGGAGTAACTTGACTCTGGGAGTACAGCGATAATCCTAGAACAATGAGGAATTTATGCAGATGAAGAGGAATTTATGTTGATTAGGAATTTGTTGCCCCCCCCCCCCAGGTTGTCTTCAGCTGATGTAATCCTGTCCTGGAGCATCATCGTGGGACCTTTGAGGTCTTAGCTGTGTGACCTGAGGCAAAAAATGGGGTTCTGTCTCGACCTGCCATAGCTGGCCTATAGGCCGGAAAACCAGGCCTAATCATAATTTTAATTGTGAAATGATTTTTTTTCCCCAAAATTATGCAGAATTGCTCCTGATACTTGAATATCTACAGTTTTCAAAACCATTCCAAAAGATTCTTGGTCAGATGTAGGAATCCTGTATAGGATAAAGTCCAGACAAGACATTACATTTATGATGTTGCTCTGTCTCTCAATTTCACTAACGCTTTCACATGTTTATTCTGTGCTCCAGCAGTGAACTTGTTAAATATTTGTCTGGTGGGTTCTCTGTTACATCCTTCCCTGGCTTTGTATAAATGTGTCCTCTGTCTGGATCATTCTTTGTGACCCTCCATATAGGTCATCAGTCATTCTCCGTACTTGAATATAAAATACAGGAAGTTATACAAACCTATTTGCTTACATTATCAGTGTCCTTTATTGTATGTGCTGCCGAAGCGAAAACTATCAGCGTCCTTTATTAACCTGACATTGTAGGGCACACAGACCAGATAAATAATGTGATACGAATATTTGGATTTTCTATGGAATAACTTTAGGTTGGAGGAATATTTTAAGTTATACTCAGTTTAATTTTGTAGCTATAGGAACTGGACCTGTTGGATAATTTTTTTTGCCTGGGGTTTGGTTTGTTGAAACTGTACTGAAAATAATGTAAGGTCTATTTCTATGACAATTACCCTAAGTATTACTGGGAATTGTTGGCCTGCTTTGTTGAGGAGAGATAGCTTGCAAGTCTCTGAGATTTTTATTTGGTCTTGCAAATCATAATGGTAGGCTCATCATAGAGTGTAATTTCCCAAAGGTTAGAATTCTTTGTCTATTTTGTTGAAGCAGGCCAGGTCCCAGAACACTTTTTTTTCTTTTGGTACCAGGGATCGAACTCTGGACCTTGCGCTTGGCAGCAGAACCCACTGAGCTAAATCCCTGGGCCCCAGAACACATTTTGAATGAGTGCAGAGAGGTTATTTAAAAGTCCAGCCATCTCTGATCTATATTGAAATTTTATTTTTTTTTATATTGAAATTTTAATTGGTAAAATATTTTACTCACTAAAAAGGTTAGAAGAGAGATATGTGTGGAGGGTAAGTTTCTAAATGCAGAAAAACATGAGGAATGGCATTTAAAATGGTATTTCTGGGCCGGGGATTTAGCTGAAGTGGTTCTGCTGCCTGCTTTGCAAGTGCAAGGTCCTGCATTTGGTCCCCGGTACCAAAAAAAAAAAAAAAAAGTTATTTCTAAGCCGGGTGTGTAGGTACACCCCTGTCTCTGTAGATTGAGGCAGGAGAATAACAAGTCCAAGGCCAGCCTGGGCAGTTTAGCTAGACTGTGAACCCTGGGTTCAATTCCCAGTACTAGAAAAAAATTTTTTATTGGGCCTGGGATTGAGCTCAGTGGTGCTGGCGCCTGCCTGGCAAGCAAAAGGGTCCTGAGTTTGATCCCTGGTAGGGGTTGCGGGGGGATTTGTTTCCAGCTTATATGGGTAGAAACAACAGGTCACCTTTACCAGTAGTAACTACAGTAGGTTTTATTGGCACATGATAGGTGCTTTGATGATTTACACAATCTAATAAATTGGTTATTATTCTTTACACTAGATACTGAATGGTTGTTGGTAGGGTATGGTGAAATTGAGAAGTGTTGCTCCATCTATTGCCTTATCTATTTTTCCAGTTTGCTGGGAATAACAATGCAAATGTGGTTTTTCTCAGATGTGAATCTTTTATTATAGAGAAGCATTATAACTAACTGTGTACTTTTCTTTCACAGGTGAACGAGTACTGTGCTTTCATGGGCCTCTTCTTTATGAAGCAAAGGTATGAAATCTTTGGAGAAGTTGGCCATGACTATTGGTTAAATCTGACTCTTTTTTTTTGGTACCCGGGATCGAACTCGGGTCCTTGCACCTGGGCAAAACCACTGAGCTAAATAAATCCCCCGCGCAAATCTGACTTTTAATAACAAGTTTCAGTGTCTTTGTTGGGTTTGTTAAGAAAGTTACCTTTTATTATAAGCTTATAAGTTTTTAGACTTCTTGTTTTGGGCTTTTTACTGCTTGTTTAATGGCTCAAATAAGTTAAAATGTTGCTACTCTTCTTTTTTAACTGACTTTTTAAGACCCATTTGTTGGAAGTAGCATGTAAGGGAAGTGATAGGTGAAGGTTGGTGGGATCTTGGGAACAAGTAGTATTTTGTAGTTGATAACTTGTGAAAAAAATTCCAGAATTATTTTTATGCAGGTATTATATATGGAGTGAACATTTATAGTTAACTTTGTTGATTTGACTGGGAAAGTTTGAATCCTGGGGAATAGGGCTCTCTTTCCTCTGCATCATTGTGTGGTGTGGTTATAAAAACTGCATTTAGGCTAAGATAAACAGGATAACACATTTAATCAGGAAATTTTTGTGGTGCTCAGGATTCAATTTTGGGCCTCACACAGGCTTTTGATAACTTTCAGCACAGACTTTTGGGGGATGGTATCCTAGCGGTTGAATCCAGGACCTTGCATATGCTAAACATGCTCTCTACCACTGACCTACATCCCCAGGCCAGGACAAATGTATTTTAAGACTTGACCATACATACATTTACAGTTTTGGAAATTGAGCACAAGGGCTGTGGTGTATGTAGTAGCTCAGTGGGTAGAGCACTTGCTTGACATACTTAAGGCCCTGGGTTCATTCCCCAGCATCCCCCAAGCCCCTACCAAAAAAACCCACATTACAAAATACAAAGCACTATAATGTTCAGAGGCAATTTCTGCATAAATTCCTGGTGAATACTTTGTGTGTCTTTGAAAATAGTCTTAGCATAATTGTGAAGTGTCAAAGTTCTGAGTAAAAAACTTTTTACTACTTATTACTTGTGTTTTGAATACATAGATATGTGTTATAATTGCTAAATTATGAGTCGTGTTGCTCATTTGTATTCTTTTTGTTGTATGAACTTTGGCAGACTGTTCTAAACTCTGGTTTTTCTCCTGGTACAAAACACTGGTGAACAAAGTTTTAGATGACTGAGATAGTTTAAACTATCGTGGTTCTTTGGGTTTGCCTCCAGTGAATATTTTTTAAAACTACAAGTCATCACTTGTAGTTAATGATTTTCCTCTAATAATTAGTTTTGATATGTTTGGCTGCCATTTTGTTTGGTTGCTTTCAGTAGTGGGGTTGGAAGCCAGGGACTTCTGTATCCTGGTGGTAGGCCAGTGCTTTACCATTGAGCTAAACTTCCAACCCTTGTTTTGGGTGCTTTTAAAAAAATTTTTTTAAGTTGATTCTGAAACAAATCAGCGTGTTACCTTTGAACAGCTAATAAAATTGTTCTTGGAATAAACTAGCTCCTGGCTAGAGTTTGTAAAAGCATAATTATGCATACCTTTTATTAGCTGCCCTTGGTGAACTTGTCTATCCCAATAAAGTTTAGGGGTGATCGTTTATGACCCTTTATGCTAGGGTTCTCAGCTTTGTTGAGCCGTCTCTAACTTATGGTTCTGTGCTCTTAAAGTTTAGTATTTTATAGTCACTTAGAGTCACCTTTTTTTGTTGGTTAAAAAGAGTTGCTGTAGAGTGAGTCTTTGAGAAATTGGATACTTTTAATTTTTTTTTTGAATACTTTAAAATCATCTGGGTGGGGTGTCTGTCTCTTGAAAATTTATTTCTAAGTGAATTTTTTCTTTTTTATTGCAGTGTGTAAAGGTTGCCATAAAGGACAAACAAGTAAAATACTTTATACATTACAGTGGTTGGAATAAAAAGTGAGTATTAGACTTTTAAAAGCAATTTGTGTATAGTCTTAACGTAACATAGTATAAAAGTGAGGATGAGCCCCTTGTAGCATAATGAAACTGTTAGAAATTGGAGTACTCAGCCATATCTGTTTATTTACTTATTTGATAGGATCTCCCCAGATAGTCCAGGCTGGCCTCAGACCCATGGTGGTCCTCCTGCCTCAGCCTCCTGGGTTCTGGGATTATAGGCGTGTGCCATCACATCTGGCTCAGCCGTTTTATTTTAAATGCACTTGATTTTTTGGGGAGTATTTCTTGAGTTCCAGGGTGGTGTTAAATAATTAACCAATCCTATTGAATGATGAATGCCAGGTTGTCACATTTTTATGGTTTTATTGCATTTTAAGATAGACTGAAGTTTTTGGCCTGTGTTATTTTAAAGGCATTAATACTCAAAACTAGTTGGGTTTTTCTGCATAAAGATTTTTCCTTTTTTTGGTACTGGGGATCAAACTCAGGTCCTTGCGCTTGTGCAGCAGGCCACGAAACCACTGAGCTAAATCCCCGGCCCATACATAAAGGTTTTTCTACAAAAGGAAAAAGTGTAAAAATTGTCTGAATTTGGCTGGGTGTGATATGTTAATGATAGAATTTACTAACTTTCTTAAGTTTGGAAACAGTGCTGACAGTGTTTTCATGGTTTGTTTTTGTTTAATGATGTTTTGTCCTTCAGAGATAGCATTGTCAGTAAATACTTCTGGGAGTTGTAGTAACTTAGTGCTTTGTGTCACCTGATAGGACTTCAGTACCTGGTTTACCATGGGAGCGTGCCATCTGTGATTTGATGAGTACTCTGTTGCTATGGAAGGACAGTTTTTCCTGTTAAGTCTATTGGCCCTGTGACTTTGGTTCTGTTTTATATAGTCCCCCTGTGCAGGTGACCAACCCAATTAATTTTATTAGGGAATTTTTTTATAGGTCAAATGCTTTAAGCTAAGGACTATCAGACCTATTATTTTTCTTTGATTAGTATAGTTGTGAAAGAGTGGAAATTAAGGGCCCGGGATTTAGCTCAGTGGTTTTGCCACCTGCTGTGCAAGCACAAGGACCCAAGTTCGATCCCCAGTACCAAAAAAAAAAAAGTGGAAATTAAAATATATAAAAGCACATGAGTAACTTGGGAATTAAAATATTTCTAATGATAAGTAGGTATTATCAGTACCTCAAAGTGACCCCATAGTTTTGTATTTTAAATATTGAGAAATTGGGGGACTAATTGGAGAAAGTGGTCTTTCAGTGTTTCTGTAAGCAGTCATTTGAAATTCTGGTATCTAGGAAACAGGAAAATTTGTCATGTGCTCCTAGTGTATCATAAAAAATGAAATGTTGGGGGCCGGGGATTTAACTCAGTGGTTAGACCGTCTGCCTTGGAAGTGCAAGGACCCGAGTTTGATCCCTGGTACCAAAAAAAGGAAAGAAAAGAAAAGAAATGTTAAAACTGCACTTTCAGTATTTAATAATTATCAGGCTTATATTTCTGATAGCCAGGTAATAGTGTCACATTTATGCATAATGAGTGGGAAAGTTAAAGTCTATACAGAGTATTAAAGAAGAAAAACCATTCCACAGATGTAGGCCTACTGTCTCCCACCTCTTATACACTTTGAAGGAATCATTTTAGAATTTCAGCTTAAAAGCTGTAAATACAGCTTGTGGTGGACTTTCATGTATAGTAAATATTTTGTGTAAAATTATATGTGTTGCCCAAGGACTGGATTTCAAGTGGCTTTTGCATCTTGTGAAAATACTGAATGCTTACATTTTCTGGCTTCAATAAAATAACATTTCCCCCTTTGATGTCCAGTAACAGAAAGAAATGGTAGGTTTGTAAAAAGTTGATCTTACCTTTAGGAAGTATTTAGAGAAACCTTAAGTAGACCCATTTTGAAAGGGGGAAGCGTTAGTTAGGTGCCCAGCAAATGTGTTGTATTTTTATTCAGTGATGCTGTTTACGTTGTGTCCATGGGTTGTGACTTTGGGATTTAAGTCTCAAGATACCTTGAGAAAATTCTGTAATTCTTTTGTGCTTCACCTACATGAAGCCCTTTGGCTTTCTGTTGTTACCCTTAGTTATTCTTCAGAGCACAGGATGGGGTCCATTCCATTTTCCTTTGATTTACCAAGGATTTTTAGCTCTCTACATATAAAGGAAACTTGCTTTGATTTGGTTTTTATATGAAGGTGCTTATTTAAATGTATTATATCAAAAAAGGAAGGGATTTGTAAAGTTTTAAAATGGAACCTCACAACAATTAAAAATTAGCTCCCTTTGATTTAGAGAGAATTTGAAGAAACAGATACATAAAGTTTTAAATAACTCGCTATGATAGTGCTTTGTAGGATATGATTTTTTAAAACCATATTGCAAACTCGGGATTTAGCTCAGTGGCACTGTGCCTGTCTCGAAACCGCAAGGGTCCTGAGTTCAATCCCCGGTACCAAAAAGAAACCATACAGCAAAACTCTGATCCCAAATTGGATTTTTTTAAACTTTAGTTAGCATATGTATTTTTATATTTTTCAGAAGCACAGTAGATACTAGATATTTTTAAATTTTCAAAAACCTTACTGGAATTTGTTTTCTTTTCTTTTGGTACCAGGGATCGAACTCAGGTCCTTGTGCTTGCGAGGCAGGCGGCAGAAACACTGTACTAAATCTCTGGTCCCCTTATTGGAATTTATTGGCATAGACATTAACTATTCCATTTGTGAGTGAATCTTAATAAAGCTTAAGCTAAATTCTGCACCTAGTTACTGAGATTACTTTGTACTATGCTGTCTGTATCAGAAGTGCTGTGAGGCCCAGGCGCTCTGAAAACACTTTGAAGACACATGAGGATATTGTAGCCCTTTTTCCTGTTCCTGAAGGAGCTCCCTCAGTACACCACCCCCTCCTGACCTCTAGGTAAATGCATGTTTTAAAGTTTTCTCTAGGAAATCATGTTGAGATTGTTTTTTTTTTTTTCCCTCCCCTTTTGACTATTCTAATAAGAGGTCAGAGGCTGGAAACCATTAAACAAAAGCTAGTACCTTGAGAGTACACCCAGTTGTGTCACTAAAGGAGCTCCATCAGCAGGAGAAAAGACTTAAAAGATCAGCATTCCCTAAGAAATACCTTCTTTTGTTTTTCTCTTTGGAGGGAAAACACACCAAGAGAAAAAAATCTTGCTTTGGAGGAACTTTGTGACTACCAAAATGCCTTACCAACATTTTAAGAGCAGTTCTACCTTTTAATGTTCACAAAGCCTTCTGGTAGCCTTGTAAGTTAGTGTATCCATTTATGAAAGGATAAAAGTAAAGAAAGGTATACTGTAGTTTGAATATCCATTGAGATACTTTAATGTACATACTTAGCCGAGTCATCTAGATGGTAAGTATGGCAGAGTTGTTAATGTATTCCTGGCATATACCTTGAATGTTTTTATGTGTCTCCGGGATTCTCAAGTGTTTTTACATTTAATTGCATAACAGCCCTATGTGGTAGGTGTATATGGTGATGAAAATAAGGCAGAGAGCTATGTTAACTGCTGTTACATATAGCTGATTAGTCAGTTGGTTTTAGTTTTTATGATTCAGTTTATTATGGTCCCCTATGCTTGCTCTTTGGCAATTTAACATTTAAGATAGTATTTTCATTCTGTAAGGCAAATTACTTTAAGCAGAGATGGCGAACCTTTTAGTGCTTTCAGCGACAGAACAGACCCTGCAGCGCATGTGCCATACATAGCTTCACCACCACTGACTTAAAGTCTCAGTTTCTAAGTGTCATGTTCTTAGGACATTTCTAAAAATGATTTGAATAATCTGGCCTTTGGATTTGGAATGTTGCTTCTTTGAGTATAAAATTTTCTTTTACAGAACAGACTCATTAGATTTTTGTCATTGAGAATGGATTTATAGCATTAGTTCATCAAATGATTTCAGAGAAATCCAAAGTTTTGCCTCTTCAATCTCTAAAAATTAATTGGAGTATAGAGTGTGAATTGTAACGAAAATACTTTTGAATGATATTTTAACTCTTCTTTTTAGTTGGGACGAATGGGTTCCAGAAAGCAGAGTACTCAAATATGTGGACACCAATCTACAGAAACAGCGAGAACTTCAAAAAGCCAATCAGTAAGTTTGTTTTGAGAAACTAATGTTAAGGAGAAAGGACTATAAAGTAGATTTTGAACATGGAATGGACAATTGTAATCTTGTTGGGTGGCTGTCTGCCACTTCTTTTTTTTTTTTTTTCGTACTGGGAATCGAACCCTTGACCTTCCACTTGCGAGGCAGGCGCCAGAACCACTGAGCTAAATCCCCGGCCCCAAGGGTGGCTGTCTGCCTGTAAAATGATTTCCCCCTTTTTTTGGTACCAGGGATCGAACTTGGAACCTTGTGCTTGTGAGGCAGGCAGCGGCACCACTGAGCTAAATCCCTGGCCCTGTTATGGTCACTTTTTACCAACTTTAAGTTTGGTGGCTCCAGAGCAGTGATGGTGAACCTTTTAGAGCTTTCAGTGACAAACAGCCCACTGCTGCATGTGTGTGGTGGGTTCGCCAACAGTGCTCTAGAACAACCAAATTTTAGGGCTTTTCCTCTTGGGGTGTGTGTGTGGTGAATGTATTGATTATCTCTCTGTCCAACTTGTATAAAACTGTACCAGAAAGTGTATGTGCTTGGGAACCTCAGTTTCAATACAAATTCCAAGAGGAATCAAGTTAACAGAACCTTATTTTTCCTCGTAAGTGGTTATTTTATGATGATTTGACAACTTACTTTTGAAGGGAGCAGTATGCAGAGGGAAAGATGAGAGGGGCTGCTCCAGGAAAGAAGACATCTGGTCTGCAACAGAAAAATGTTGAAGTGTAAGACGCTCTGTTCTTGCTTTAATTTTGCATACTGTTTTATAAGTGTAATCTTCAAAGTTCGTTTGTTAGACTTAGGGAAGTTTGGAACATTGTTGGAACTTCAGTGCCATTGAGACTATTCCTCACATACCAAGTTGTTAAGGTCATTGAAAATACATACACATTTTTTGATTTTTCCATAACATAACATGTAGCTCGCTCCCCTTACTGTAGTAAAGTATTCATGACATAAAATGCACTATTGAAACTGTATGTCATGTGAGAGTTCATTCTTTTTTTAGGTTTTTTTTTGTCATTTAAGTGGAATCTTGACAGTATATTTTGTTGGCATGTATAAGTAAACTTCATGGTTTAATCTGACTCAAATACAGTCTCAAAAATAATGTTTTGGGAAGCAAATTTAATTACTTTGTTTGGTGGTTTTTTTTTTTTTTTCGTTTTTTTTTGGTACCAGGAATCAAACATGGGACCTTGCGCTTGCAAGGCAGGTGCTGGAACCACCGAGCTAAATCCCCGGCCCAGCAAATTTAATTATTGGGATAAATACAGCCTTTGAAATATTTTTGGTAGACACAGTATAATAACTGTATACTTTTCATATACAGTAATAATGTGAAAGAAGACTATCTTGTAGTGTTCTTGGTTTATTTTATTATTTGGAAGGAGATGATGATTTAACCACCAGTAAAAATCCATGTCTGAGTAGAAAACCATATTTATTACCTCATCTTACTCATGAAGGCAGTATTTCTTTGTGGACTTAACCCTGATGAAAGGGAATTGAAACACAGTTTTATAATATGTTTTTCTCTCCTTTTAGGAAAACAAAAAAGAACAAACAAAAAAGTAAGAATATTTCTTTAAATTAATTTATTTTATCTTTATAATATTTATTTTTTGAATTCACTAAAAGCTGTGATATTATGAAAAAAAGCTTACATTTCTTGGTCTTAAATGTGAGCTATAGCAGTGTTACAGATAGAAATGTACATTATGGCTAAGCTCGATGCTCTTTTTACAAAACGTGGAGAAATTAGCAAGCATTTAGTTATTTTCATCTGCTTTAACCTTAATGGCTCTCCCTCAGAAAATAGCATTTTTAATAAATGAAAGATAGTGGTAGTATTAATTAAATGTTGCATGTTAGGTAGAGCTTTTCATAAAAGTTTTATTTTTGGTAAGAATGATTCTCTAACTTAGACTCAAGTCATAGCTGCGTAATGGAGAAATGATGAAGAAAGGATGTGTCATGATGGTGTTTTCCATAGATACTTTTTAAATTAGCTAACCAGTACCACACCATGTTGTAGCCCCTGGTAATGGAGATGGTGGCAGTACCAGTGAGACACCTCAGCCTCCTCGGAAGAAGAGGGCCCGGGTAGATCCTACTGTTGAAAATGTGAGTTTTCTTAAGTTTGTGAGTAGTCTATTAGAATTCTTAGTCTTACTTGTGTTATATTACATTCGCAACAAAAAGTAATCATAGAACTTGGGTTCTCAAAAATACTGTTCGCATGGTTAACTACTGACCACTCCACCCATGGGTAAAGGATGTATTTATGTCTATTATCACCCTCCCCCTAACTGGGGTTTGAACCTAGGGCTTTTGCACTGAAGTATATTCCTAGCCCTGTTTTGTTTTGTTTTGTTTTGTTTTATTTTATTGGTATTGGGAACTGAACTCAGGGCCTCACGCTTGCCAGGCAAGCTCTGTGCCACTGAGCCACATTCCTGGCCCCCAGCCCTTTTGTTTTGAGACAGGGTTTTAATAAGTTGCCCAGACGGCTTCAATTTGTAATCTTCCTGCCTCAGCCTGAGTACTGAGTTTATAGGTGGTAATTTTTTTTTCTTTTTTTGCGGGGGAGGTACTGGGGATCAAACTCAGAACCTTGTATTTTCGAGGTAGGCGGTGGCGCCACTGAGCTAAATCCTCGACTATAGGTGGTAATTTTTTTTTTGTACCAGGGATCGAACTCCTTGGGTCCTTGCTGCCTGCACAGCTAAATCCCCGGCCCCAATAGGTGGTAATTTTTATAACAAAGTCTAAAACGAAACAAAATTTGTATACAATAAATATGTCTTCAGTATGGCGATTTGTAGGGGGACAAATAGAGGAAGAGATTAGAAGCAAGGCTGGAAGACAAAAGATTATGCAAACTTTGGGAAACTGGTGACGGCAGGGAAAGAGAAGGAAGAAATAAAAACAAACAACAAAATACAGTGTTTACACTTATATAAAAACAGGAACACTGTGTTTTCCTGGCAAGCACAAGGTCCTGAGTTCGATTCCCAGTACCAAAAAAAAAAGAAAAATGTCTATTTCAAGGTGTGTCTCTGGTGCCACTGGTAGACAAGTAGGGCACACAGACCCCCAGATCTATGTTGATTAATCCCAGCAAGCCAGCCCTAGAGTTATGGCTGGGTAGTAGATAATCCTAGCAGCCTGCACCTTTAGTTGTGAAACTCAGGCTGGTTTCTGGCTGTGAGGCTGGAATCCAGTTTGTTCAGCCTGTAACACTGTGCCTCCTGCTGGCTTGAACTTGCCTCTTTGCTCTCCTGCCAACTTGAACTCAGTTCTGCCTTACCTTGATGAAGCCACCCTGCAGCTGCTCTCAGTTCCAAGCTTAGTTAGCCCCTCTCCAAGATGGCAATCAGCCAGTTGTCCTCTGCTGGGGGACCCAAATAACTCACCAGCCACTGCAGTCTACTGGTGCATCTCTCCCTGGAGCCCTCTGGGGTCACCAGTAGTCACTGTGTGTCTGCAGGTTTGAGCATCCCTTATCGTGAAGTGAGTCAGGGCTCAGAAATAAAGCACTACTTGCCAGCTCCTCCTCCTTTGTTGAAGTCTCTCCTTGTTCTCTGTGGGCCTCAGCTCTCATTTCAGATCCTTGCTAGGTCCTAGGGATCCACCTCCCTCTTTCCTGTCTTCCTCATGTTGCTATATTCCAGCGTCTGGACAATAAATCTCGGGGAGAGGGTGTTTCTCTGTTGTTCACTACTCTGCCATCTTCCAGGAAGTCCCACAGGTGGTAATTCTTATTTTATCTATAGCTGTGGAATTAAACTACCCCATACTCAGGAGGTGTATGAACTCTGTGTTTACATACCGGATTAAATATTTTTTTTTAAGCTGGGTGGTGGCCCATGCCTGGAATCCCAGCATTTTGGAAGCTGAGGCAGGAGGATCACTGAGAGTTCAAGGCCAGCCTGAACTACATAGGGAGACTCTGTCTCAACCAAAAGAGAAAAAAAAGTACGAAAAACCAAGATTAAGTACTTTTTTGGTGTTAGACTGGGTGTACTTATTAGATCATGTTAAATGGTTCATTAAATTCCAACATGGGTTAATCTTATAAAAATACCATGAAACTGTCAATTCCACATCTGTTGTGTATTTGGATACGCTACAGAATTCTTGGTTAGGTAAGTGTGAATTTATTATAGTTATAATTTCCACAGTTACTGAATTTGAGGGTTGTAATTGACTAGCTTACATTTCTGAAGTTTTGGTATGTTCCAGAAGATAGGGAATTTGGGGCAGGTTTGAAGAGTTGTTTAGAAATCAGTATTTTTAGGGTGGGGATATATGTTAGGGTCAGATCCAGGGCCTCACACATGCTAGGCAAGCACTATGACACTGAGCTATATCTCCACTATCCTAGAAATCAATACATTTAATTACTTCTATGAATTTTTTAAAAAAGTACTGATGTTTGGGATAATTATTTAGATAGCAACAGTGAACATGAAACTGCTAAATTAATATGTGTTAAGTCCAGATGTTCCATTTCCATTAGAAGGGGGAATTCACTTAAGAATTTTTACCTTCATATGAAATAAACTGGTGTGATTTCCAAATCATATTCCTTTTCCCTTGCATCTTTAACTGTATGATTTGTATACTTACGATTTTTAAATGACAGTCCCAGCTGCATAGATTTGTATCAGGAGTAACCTTATACCTAGTGTCTCTAAAGGTATAAAAAAATCACCCCTCTGTTCTAGAGTTTCTATTTAGGCAAGGAAAGATTGGATTTTTTTTTTGTTTTTTGAAGTGTTGGTTAAACAGATTTTTAATTCCTTTTTCTATTTAGGAAGAAACATTTATGAACAGAGTTGAAGTTAAAGTAAAGATCCCTGAAGAGCTAAAACCGTGGCTTGTTGATGACTGGGACTTAATTACCAGACAGAAACAGGTAACTTGGACAGATTGTAAGCTATATGATAGGTTTTTGTAGTAAAAAGAAAAAAGTTGAAAATTTAAGGTATGGCTGAGGATTTTTTTTTTTTTGGTACCCGGGATCAAACTCGGGACTTGTGCTTGCAAGGCAGGCAGCAGAACCACTGAGCTAAATCCCCAGCCCGGCTGATAAATATTTTAATTCAAGAGTCTTAACAGTTACTACCAGATAGAATAACTTGGAGAAGAATAAAATAGTGCATATATAAATTTCATAAGTTTAGGGTGATTTTTATAAAAATTGGGAAATAACCCATTTTCATAGCTTATGACAGGAACTTACCAGGGAAATTGATAAAAGTGCAACATCTGCACACATCCCAGCTAATGGAATATAACAGAATGTATAGCATCACAAGCAGAAGAATCTAAAGTCTTAGGTTTATGTTTATTTTTATTTATTTATTTATTTATTTTTTGGTACCGGGGATCAAACTCGGATCCTTGTGCTTGTGAGGCAGCCGATGGAACCACTGAGCTAAATCCCTGGCCCTTAGGTTTATTTATTAGTGTAGAGAAGTGGAGATATTTGATAGAGGGACATGTTCAACATCAGAGGAGTTAAATCACCTGCATCCAGCATGAGGAACCCTAGGACAAATGAACCAACCAGTTTCTTTTAAACAGACAAATGAAAAGGTGGGGCTGGGGATATAAGGGGTAAGAATAGTGATTGCTTGAGGATTATGAGACTCAGGGAACATTTCAGTTGTATGTAATAAGTGGGCATAGTTTGACTCTTGATTTGAATTCTTTGAGGGATTATCCATTTACACTGAGCTACCAGCATTCAAGCTGTGGTTTTACCATGTAGTATCTGTGAGTGCAGATTATAGTTTCTCGGCCTTTTTGTGCTTTAGTTTCCACTTTTAGTAGAATAGTAGTTCCTGTCTTATAGTAGTGATGTGAGGATGAAAAGAGGTTTTATTTCTGTTAATGCTTCAGACTGGGACTGGCACATAAATGCTTTTAATAAGTAAGGACTTGATAATCAGGTGCAGTATATGCTGTTAGTGCAGTGGTGACGAACCTTTGACACGAGTGCCGCAACACAGGCTGTTATCATTGAAAGCTATGAGGTTCACCGACGCTACTATAGTGTATGTGTGTTGATAGATTGCCAGCTGTTAGAGCAGTCCACTGTGGTAGCCACTAGCCATGATGTTCATGTTTCACATACAAAATTGTGTCTTTTCCAACTTTCTAATACTGATAGGTGATCTTTTATTGCAGAAAAGGTTACCCAGTGTTATTTTTCTTTTAAAAATGCAGTGTTTGTAGTCAAATGTTTTGTTTTCATAGCTCTTTTACCTTCCTGCCAAGAAGAATGTGGATTCCATTCTAGAGGACTATGCAAATTATAAGAAATCTCGAGGAAATACGGATAATAAGTAAGAATATACATACCACTTTTGAGTATATCCAAAAAACTTGTACTTTGAAATATTAAAATATTAGCAAAATAGGATTTTTTTTTTTTTTTTTTGGTACCGGGCATCGAACTTGGGACTTCCCGCTTGCAAGGCAGGCGGGGGAACCACTGAGCTAAATCCCCGGCCCTGGATTGTTTTTGTTTTATTTGGCAGTAATGGAGATTGAGCTTGTGGGGATATCATGCATGCTGGGCAAGCACCTAACACTGAGCTACACCTTCACCCCATTTATGTGTTTGAGACAGGGTCTCAATAAGTTGCTCATGATGGCCTTGAACTTGGAATAGCAGTAATTAATTGTAACTAGCTTGCCTCTTAATTTCTTAGCCTCATGTCTGCATTCTGGCTCTTCTAAAGTGATTGTTTCTGTTCGTTTATCAGGGAGTATGCTGTTAATGAGGTTGTAGCAGGGATAAAAGAATACTTCAATGTGATGCTGGGCACTCAGCTCCTCTACAAATTTGAGAGACCACAGTACGCTGAGATTCTTGCCGATCACCCTGATGCACCCATGTCGCAGGTGTACGGAGCACCACATCTACTGAGATTATTTGGTAATACACCATTTAGAAAACATGATTTTGCTTTTCTTTTTGAGCCTTTGATAATTTGACTTTTTTTGTCTTCCCTAAATACAAGAAATGAAATAACATTCCAGAGCATGACTCCATTCTAGCTTGAACTTTCTAGCTTTTAAAATCATGTAATTTAAACAAATTGATGGCTGCATCTACTCATGTAATTAAACTACATGGTTTTATAGTGCTGCCTTTAACTTCGGATAAATTCTTTCGTTTAAATAGTACGAATTGGAGCTATGTTGGCCTACACACCTCTGGATGAGAAGAGCCTTGCTTTATTACTGAATTATCTTCATGATTTCCTCAAGTAAGTCTGATTGGAATTATAAATGTGAATTGGTATGGTATACTGAAAATTTGTTATAGGACAGATCGACACTACTTAATAAAATAATTGGTACTGATATAGATGGCTAATGGAACAATATTCAAATACAGGAATTTACAAGAGTCAGCATATAGGTACAATAAAGGGAAAATGATGGAGTACAGAAATATAAAAACTTTAGATAAAAGGTATAGTAATGAATGTATTTATAGTTTTGTACTGTTGCATAAATGTTAAAGGGCTGGCATCTTAATACAGAGGTTTGTTTTTTGTTTTTTTAAGACAGAGTCTTGCTATGTAATTCACCCTGGCCTTGAACTCACTGTGTAGACCAGGCTGACCTCAAACTTTGCAGAAATCCTCCTGCCTCAGCCTCCCCAGGTGCTGGGATCACAGGTGTACGTCACCACACCCAGCTTAATACAGAGCTCTTAATACTTAGTAAGATGAACAAACCAGTGAAATGGGGACATGTGAGATGTATAGAAATGGGCAGTGCAAAGGAACATTAAAAATGTATCCAACAGTATATTGAATATATATTTTCAATAAATAAGTATCTCTAGACTGCCTGAGACTGAAGAAAAGGGGAGAAGGGCAGTCTTGGTTTCTACATCTTGTTAGAAAACATTTTTTATTATGGTGAAGAAGCTTTAAATGTTTGTAATCAATAACATTTTATTTTTAGGTATCTGGCGAAGAATTCAGCAACTTTGTTTAGTGCCAGTGATTATGAAGTGGCCCCTCCTGAGTACCATCGGAAAGCAGTGTGAGGCGCTCTTACTCGTGTTTGGATCTCTGTCAACATGTTTTGTTCCTAGTCCTTCTCTTGTACAAATGATGTACTTTGAAGATGTTAGTGTACAACAGAGTTGA